ATATATATATATATATATATATATATATAGTGTGTATCTCTAATATATATGCACTCTTATCTGTATGTATATGTGTGTGTATATATACATGTATCTCTAATATATGTATATATATGCACACTTATCTGTATTTCCCTCCATATGTGTGGTCACTCGGTCTTTTAATGTAAAAGCACTACAAAAGAATTAGACATCACTGAGAGAAGTACTGTAGACTTTCCTCTCAGGATAATTTGTATCTGGTGTACTCAAAAATTTGTTATGGGAATAAGCTGATCATTCTATAGATTGTATGTGGGAAAAATATATACGACTCATATGTGAGGTCTTCAAAGATAATGAATGTCATGAATGTTGCTTCTTTATTATGAGTCTCAGTTCCACTGAAGCGTCCCAACTGGCTGGATGTCTTCTCTGACAGCAAACATAGTAGCTGTCAAGGCAATAGGGCATCTACATGCCCATCTCAAGCACTCAATGTGGAGGAGACCTTCCCTCCGTGGTTTTCCGTTATGCAGTAAAGTCTGCAGCCCAGTGACAGCAGCATTTCTTTCCTCCATCAGCATTTGCTCTCTTCTTTGGCTAATTTCAGGCACTTCAAGGAAAAGTGTGTCATGAACAACTACTTTGGAATTGGATTGGATGCTAAAATTTCTCTGGAGTTTAATACCAGAAGAGAAGAAAACCCCAAACAATACAAGTAAGGAAAAGAATCTCCCCTCCCTACGTGTAAATATATGATCACAATACACATACATATTCCTATATTTCCTGTATCTCAGACAAGGAATAAAAAGAAAAATTTCCTTTGGAAGCAAAATGCACTGGTTCCAAGACTAGCCTAGGTGGAAAACTTGCCCCAAATATTGGGCTACTCTGTGACAACTACACTGCCATCCTGAAATTGAAACTCCTCCCAGTCTAGACCTGTGGATTTCTGGAAAAACATAGCTTCCTGTGTTACCATTCTTAAAAATAGACTAAAAGACCAGCTATAAAACCAAATCAGCAGAGTTTTAGTAAGCAGAGGTTGCTAGAATTCCAATATGTAAAAAAAAAATCTTCCTGTTCATTAAATCTCCAGATACCCCATGTTATTAGAGTATCATTCTCCATAAAACATGAGTCATTTGAAATATGTAAGTGTTCTATTCAAAATTAGCTGTAAACGAGTATGTGCTAAGCAAATTGAATACCAATTTTGTAAAGCTGTTCACATGAATAATAAATACTATTGATAAGGAAAAAAAGAAAGTAGACTACTTTGACTCAATTCAGCAAATTGCCTATCTCTGTTCTGTCTGCAAGAGCTTAACGAGGTCCTAGTAATGATTCCAAGTCTGGTTTTGCTCATCATGGCTATAAAGTATTAAAGACTATCCTATTCGTTCTTGGTGTTTCTCACCCATTTCCTTTGGACCCATTGATTTTACCCCACCTAGTATTGCCCCACTTGCTACCTTCTGGTACTTTTTTGCTACAGACATTCCCCGAGGCAGCCTCATAGGTTTTGTAAATTAAAACTGTAAGTAAAAAGAATCACATCGCTCCCACCTGTTCGATGCCATTACCATTAAAATCTCTTTCTTGTAATAAGCCTGATATGAGGAAAAAGAACTTTATTAAATAAGATTTGACAAATAGGTTCTCCCAAAATGCTTACATTTTCTGGTGGTATCCTTTGAAGTACAAAATTTTGAAATTTAATAAGGCCCAAATGATGAATTTTCTTTATGTATCATGATTTTGATGCCATATAAAATAAATATTTGCCTAATTTGATGTCTTCAAATTTTTCTAAAATTTGCATTGTTTTTAGTTTTTGTATTTAAGTCTCTGACCCTCTGTGAGTTAATTTTATGTGTGGCATGAGCTAATGGTCTAAATTAATCTTTTTGCATGAAGATATATAATTATCACAGCACCATATTTTGTTAACACTTTTATTGAAAATCAATTGACCATAAATGTAAGAGTTTATTTCTGGACTCTTATGTTCCATTGATCTATTTATCCATCCTATGCAAGTAACACATTATCTTGATAACTGTAGCTTTATAGTAATTTTTGAAAATTTTGGGAGATGAAAGTCTTCCAATTTTTTCTTTTTTTTTTCAGAATTGTTTTGGTTGTTTTAGGCATTTTGCACTTTAACATAATTAAATCTCTGTTTTGATAGATGACAAAACTAAAGTGCCCTGAAAGCTTATGGTTTTTAACAGAGCCCCCAACATTTTGTGCTAGCCTTCTTCTATTTCAATTCACTTTCTACGATGGCTCACTTCTTCCACCCACTGAGTCTCCTGTTGTCCTTGGCTGTCTCATATTTTCTCCAGCGACTCCTCTTCTGAATCTCTTTATTAAACTGATTTCTTTTCTATAATACTGAATTAAGCACTTAATATAAGGTTACGACATTTGAAGAAAACCTGCCTTAAGTCAGAAAATTCACATCATCAAAAAATTTCAGTCTAGGGCCAGACAGTTCAAATAAAATTGATTCTAAGCAGCTGAAATGTTGTGCTCCTAGAATGACACTGCCAGGATAGCTGGTGTGCATCTGCTAGTTGTGCTTACAGCTTTTTATGAGCATATTTTTAAATGTAGATTGTTCCATGTTAGGACCAATATTAGTAGCAAGCAGAAGTAAAAATTTTACCAATAATAGGACACTGAGGCTTCAAAGGGGCCCATGAGCCCATTTCTGCAATTATTGGCATCAGGATACTAGTTACACTCGCCCAGCAACCCCTCTTGTGTCGTTACTATCTAACATGACTCCTCTCCATACGAAAGCATTTAAGGCACTGGAGAAGTAAGAAGTCTCCCTCCCTGTCTTTTTCCGTCTATTTATGTTTATATTATTCACCTTCTAACTTTGACTCTCTACCCTTATCTTTTTGTAGTAGCCGCTTTAAGAATAAGATATGGTATGGCCTTCTGGGAAGCAAGGAACTTTTGCAGCGCTCTTACAGGAAACTGGAAGAACGAGTCCACCTGGAGGTGAGTGGAAAAGGAAGCGGTCCTTCCTGAGCATGGAGATAAGAAATATCATGGTCTTGTAAGTCAACTTTCCCCGATAGCCCTGGTTCTTTCACATTTTAACTTTGTGACCCCCCCACTCACAGCTAGTGGGAAGAAGGCATTAAGAGGAGTTTCCACTTTATAGATAAGAAAATGATAGTATGAGGAGAACATAGAGCCCCCCACCTCTGTAAATATTCCTTCACATTGGTATCTGAAAAGCCAGGCAACAAGACCCTTTTCTTTCAGTGTGATGGAGAAGCCATCCCCTTACCAAACCTGCAAGGCATTGTTGTGCTCAACATTAACAGCTATGCTGGAGGTGTCAACTTCTGGGGTAGCAACACAGCAGCCACAGTGAGTATGGAACAAGGAACAGGTTGGAGAAAAGTATGAACCCATTAAGGTCTCTCAGAAAAAGAGCTGGGCTGCCTTGATCTGGGAAGTGAACAATGGTAGAAGAGGAGATGGGCTTGGAACCTTTATTAGCAGCAACTGAAGGATCAGGGCTTTTTTTCCTTTTTATTGAGTTTATCGGTACATTCTAGGTATACAGCACAGTTACATTCATTACTGGGATCTTGCACCTTTACATGACAGGTCTTGGTTCTCATTTTTCAACTTGTCCCTGCCCTCCCTTCACCCCTCCTCCCCTCCCCATTTACAAATACTTCATTTCCATCTTTTCATTTTCTCATATTTTTTTTCTTTTCCCTTATTACCTTTCCCCAACCCTTCCCACTTTCCCTATACCTTTAGCCCTTTTCTTCCTATTTCACATTGTTAATTATCCCATTAGGATCTTATGTACTATTATAGTTTTTCACACCAGAGAAACTATTCGGTATTTACACATGTCTGACTTATTTATTTCACTTAGGCGTATATCCTCAATATGTATCCATTTTCCTATGAATGACTCTAATTTCTCATTCTTTATGGGTGATTAGTATTCCACTTTATAGAAAATCCACATCTTCTTTAGCCATTTTCCAGCTGATGAGCAAATGAGCTGTTTCCAAGTTTTAGCTATTACAAACTGTGCTGCTACAAACATAGGTGCACATATGTCAATGTGATATGATTCTTTTAATTCATTTGGAAAGATACCCAGCAGAGCTATGGCTGGGTCAAATGGAATCTCTAGTCCCAGCTCTTTGAGGTATCTCCATATTGATTTCCTAGGGCTTTTTTTTTTTAAGTCAATTGCTATCCCAGAAGGCCATGAGGCCAGTAAGACTGGTTTATGGGGATCTATGATGTTGAATTGAACAGGGAATAAACTGGCTATGAGCTGTGATATGAAAAGGGACTAAAACTTGTGATCTCTGTGACCTTTTCCCCTCATGTGTTCCCCGTTTAATAACGCAGCTTTCCTACTCATGAACTAGAAAATTGTTACCAGGAATCTTCAAAGCGTACTTGTTTGTGGTAGACACAGTATGATTTCATGACAGTGGGAAATATGACATAGTTCTTCTGCCTTAGGAATATGAGGCTCCTGCGATAGACGATGGAAAACTGGAAGTAGTAGCAATCTTTGGCGCCACACAGATGGCTATGTCCCGTATCATCAATTTACAACATCATCGCATTGCCCAGGTAGGCAAGAGTTGAATGGGTGCCGATAAGAGGCTGAGTTCTGTGGCTGCAAACAAGGATATGGGGTAGCTCCAGGAATTAACTGGGTTTCAAAGTCCCAGAATTGAGAAAGCAGCTTATTTGGTGGGCAGCAAGGTGCTGGCTGATCTCTTGTAAGAAATACATGTTTCTTCCTGGGACGATTGTTTCACATCTTTGTCAGAACTGCTCCACCACACATTCCATTCATAGCTATGAAATTATTAGATTGATCTATAGTGGTTATTTCATTTCTCTCCCCTATTCTTTTCTCTGACAGTGCCGTGAATTGATGATAACTATTGATGGTGAAGAAGGTATCCCTGTTCAGGTGGATGGGGAGGCCTGGATTCAGAGGCCAGGTCTTATCAAGATTAGATACAAAAATGCTGCCCAGATGCTGATGAGAGATCGGGTAAGAGGAGAAAGGTCCATCTCGGGCTCCTACACTACCTCATTCATAGCTATCACAGGAGTACTGAGTATTTCCAGTCAACTATAATTTTTCAAAAGGAATCCTGCACGCTCTTTACATCATCAGAGTCACCTAGGATGCTGCTTAGAAATGTACCAGACCTACTGATCAGAATGAGTAGGGGTTGTTCCCAGGAGCCTGCATTTGTAAACATGTTCCTCAAGACATTGAAATATGTAGACATTTGCAAACCACTGTCCAAGAGAGCAAGACAAAGTGTTGCCTCCCATGGTTTTGGACAGTTTTCTCCACTCTCCACTGCACAGAGAGATAAACACCTCTCAGCTGGTAAAAGAAAAGTATTCTTTCAACAACATAGTGTTCGTTGAATATTGCCTTTATATTCCTTTAAGGTTCCTTAAAATGCTGTGCTCACAAATATCACCCAATTTAGCTAAATTTTCTAAAGCTGCAAAGGAGCCATTATTGACCAGCTGTTCCGGGCTTGGAGACTGTCTTCTACTGTGACCTGTGAACAGTCCGTAGAAACAGCAATAGGGAGGGAAGGATATGTCCAATTTATAAAATGCTTAATTTATGCTGGGTACTTTACATGTATTGCCTCACATAGGTCCTTCCAACAATGCTGAGAACAATAAACATATTTATAATTTGACAGGTTTAATAACTTACTAACAGTCGCATAATTAGTAAATTATGAAGCATAATTTTCAATTAAATTAGATATCTATAAATTCTATCACAACATATTACCTAGATCAGGCCAAGAAGGGAACATGAAAAGTGCTCTATTTTTTACTGATCATGATGCTCTCATACAGGAGCTCCTGGATAGCAGAATATCTCTCCAGTTAAAGATTTCTACAACCCAGCATATTAACAACAAAAACTAAAAGTGTCTAGTAAAGAAGAAACATTGACTAGAATGATTGATAGATGTATAGATGGTTGTGTGGAAGAATAGAGAGAGGAACTCATTCCTCTGTTCCTGCTATACCTACTCCTTCCCACAAATGTCAGACTCAAAAACAGATCTATCAGGTATCGTGGCTACAGCATTCATTAGGATCTGCCACCGTGTTCATCTCTAGGACTTTGAGAACTCATTGAAAATGTGGGAGAGCAAACACACTGAAATTCAAGCTGTACCTCAACCCCAGCTGGATTTCCAGGAATCTCAAGAGAGCCTCTCTGATGAGGAGTGTTCCCAGATGCAGCACTTAGCTCGACTTGCAGAAAGCCTCATTAGCAAGTAAGTGGACTGACCTAGGTAAAGGGGTGGGAAACAGAAGAAGAGACAGGGAGAAGCAGCCAATTTATGTCTACTGACTACTGAAGAATCTGACCTCAGAAAGACATCTCACCTAGAGCTCTAAAGATTGATTAGGGGCTCTGACAACCATGCATGAAATATTCCTTACACTCGGCAATAAGACAGCATGGACATTTCCCATGAAGCTCAGAGATATGTTTTGATCTCTTGATGCTGTTTCAGTTTCAATGGAACTGAGAATGTTTATCCTTGCCCTTAAATATCAAAAGGGCCTAGGAATTTCTGGAGTCATCTACCTCAATCTATTGTAGCTTTTCACTCTAGTCAAGTTCCCAGTAACTCAATTCAGATGAAACAAGGATGGACAAAGATGAATATGTAGAGAAGAGCAGAAACATTTTCTGGCATCAGGGGTGCCCAGAGAAGAGCAAAAATGACAAGAGGGAATAAACATCTCAAATCTGGTACCCAGGTCTTTCATTTCTATATTCACCCCAGCTCACCAATACACCAGGCCAGAAGTTCAGAGCTCCCAGCTCATCTATCTGTCCTTGTTTTATTACAGACTTAATGACCTCAGCAAGATCCACCAGCACATGTCTGTCCTCATGGATTCTGTGAATGCTAGTGTGAACATCCTGAACAATATATTTTACGGCCAAGACAGTGACCATGGGGCAGGTGCAGCTTCTTGTATTCCCACTGAGGTAAGGAAGAAGGAGTAAAGGCCAGGAGCAAAAATAGATATGAAAGGGAAGGAAGGGGGAGAATAGGTTGGATGAAGAAATTTCAAAAGGTCTATGGCAAGAAATTGATAGAGTGGATGGAAAGGCCTGCATTTCCTGACTATGTAGGACCAAAGTGGCTACTAGACAAATCCCACAGCAGATTTCATCAGCTTGATAACCAGCCCTCTTTCCTGATAGCTATCCAGCACACCAGATTCAGGAAAGAAATGGCAATGGATGGAGAGAAACTTGGCTTTGAACTCTCCTCATCACAGGTGGCTCCTTTTATAATGTGCCATTGGAATAAGAGTTCTAAAGTTCTCTGGTTTCCCTTTTGAGGGAAAGGTCCATATCAGATACTTACTGTTAAATGTACCATGACTTTCTCCACCGGCAGAAGATTCAAGCAATACTTTCTTACAAAGTAACTTTAGAGCACTTACCTAGCATATATGAAGCTTTGGGATTCCATCCCCAACACCACAAGCAAACAAACAAACAAACAAACCTTCAGTGCTAGGCAAAAGTACAATAGGCAGGAGCTGCTAAAATGTGAGTGAACTATTTTAGACTAGATAGTTGGAGGAGGCCTAGGAACCAAGGCATGAAGTTTTGAGAAGAGAGATAGTTGGGCCACACTCTACTTGCCATGGAAAAAGTGGTCTTAGCCTAGAAACAACAACTGGTCTCAAATTTACCCTCTGGTTTTCCTATTTTCTTATACCCACTGTATCAAGTGAATGAGGCCAAAAGCCTAGTTTTTCTGTGCTACTCTGTAGTACCCATCCATATAGCTATACCAGTTGATAGTGGCATCTGTTCTGGTTGATTGGTGCCTACGCTGTGATAGATTTGTTATATTGTGAATATTAATTTTGCACCTACAGCTATGTTCTGCTAGCCTGCTCTTACTTCCAATGGAGAAGCCAGCTGCATGTTTACTAACCAACTCCTCTGTCTTTGTCCTTTCCCTTCCTTTCTTTTCTTTTCTTCTCCTCTCAGACTCTAAGCAGAAATGATGCAGTAGATATTACATTTAGTCTTAAAGGGCTCTACGATGACACCAAAGCTTTCCTGGATGAAAACTTGGTGAGTGCAGGGGATTGGAGCATGGGAGGGCAAAACATACCATCTGAAGATGGCCAATCTGTGCTTGGTTCCAGGGCATTGGAGACATGGGATCATTTTGAGCAGGTCCTTGCATGACAGTCCCTGCTGTGTCACCCAGGGTTGTCATTGATTATATTATTTCATGGGTTATGCTGATCCACAGGTTATGTTAATTCCTTGAAAGAAAATCTCTCCTCTTCTTTTTCAAATGTCTTCTGGGTCCCAACCAGGCCAATAATCATAGGTAGGACCTACTCATCATACCTGCAGTAGAAAACAGTGCGCTAGACTGAGATGATTTATATCTTTCAATTTTCTACATACTTCTTTCTCCATTGAGAAAAGCAATATTAACTAGTAGGAAATTTTAGGTGACTTTTGATACAAATTCCAAATCTGTTACTTACTAGTTGAGTCAGTTCACTATGGCTGCCATAACAAATTACCAGGAACTAAGTGACTTAAAACAAAAGAAACGTATCATCTTACAATTCTGAAATCTAGAAGTCCAAAATTAAGAAGTTAGCAGTGATACAGTCCCTCTGAAACCTGTAAGAGATCCCTTCTTGCTTCTTCTTAGCTTCTGGTGGTTTGCTGGCAATCTTTGGTGTTCCTTGGCTTGCAGATGCATCACTCACATCTATGCCTCTGTCTTCACATAGCATTCTCCCTGTGGATCTCTGTCTTCATATGGTCATCTTCAGGACATCAATCATATTGGGTTGGGGGTCAACCTTATCCAGTGTGATCTCAGTTTAACAATCAATTACTTCTACAGTGACTTGAATTTCAAATAAGGTTACATTCCAAGGCATTGGGAATTAGAACTTGAACATGGCTTTGAGGATGGGGGACAATTCAACCCATAACGCTATGTGAAATAACTTATGGGTCTTAGTTTCCATCTACAAAATATAAATTGTGATCTCAATCTCTCTGGTTGTTATTAAGAATTTGGCAAAGTATTGCATCGTAAGTGTCTGGTACATGGCAGTGGTTTGACAGATGGTAGTTATTAGTGCTAGGGAAAATGGACTGAGGCTGTTTTTTAGGCGACAAGACTGGTTGCATGTTTCTCAGAATGTAAAGCCCATGGGTATCCTTGATGAGTGTGCTCCAATGAGGCAACTGATCATGATTACCCCACTTTGAGGTTGGCTGCTAAATCTCTGAGGCAGGTGCTGTGCTTGTCTCTCATCTGATTAAGATTTCTTTGAAGAAGCGATTCTGAGATGAAACCACAAGAAGTATCCACTTCCCCTTTTCATTTGCATGTCTAATTGGCATACTGCACAGGAGGCAGAGTAGCTAAGGCAATCAGGCCAGGCTGTCCTGGTATCTGAGCCTCAAGCTAGTGTCTCTCAGCTTTATATAACAGCAGCGGGAGTGTTTTCTATATATAAGCAGTACTCAATGTCCTTGCCAGGTTGGACAGAAGGAAATACGAGAGTTCTCACTGCTACTTAGGCTTTCTTCAAGCTCATGTCCTGAAAATTGGTCCATTCCAGCCAACAACCTAATTTAAGCATACTTTACTATGGGGTAGAAGCCTCCAGAAGTCTCCCATTCCACAGGGTCTAGTGAAGACACACACACACACACACACACACACACACAGAGAGAGAGAGAGAGAGAGAGAGAGAGAGAGAGAGAGAGAGAGAGAGAGAGATACACATATCCAAATGAGGCTAAAAGGCAGGCAGCAGTAAGAATGACCACCTATCTCCAAAACTGCTATCCTACAGGTAGGAGAGGCATTTTGCCAATATTTCAAGGGCTGTTATTCCTCCCCTTGAAGAAAGAGGGCAGTAAGGAGCTCAGTGTTGGCCCTAGCCAGCTCCGTGTTTCTGTAACAAGACCCTGAGAGAACCAACTCATGAAGAGAAAAGATTTGTTTGTTTGTTTGTTTGTTTGTTAGAGTTGTCAGTCCATGATTTGTTGTTTATGTTACTTTGGCCTGTGGTGAGGCAGCACATCACAGTGGGGAGAACATGGTGGGGCAAAGCTGCTCCCCTCATGGCCAGGAATAAAAAGGAACAGAAGACAGGCTGGGACCCTGCTACCTCTTGAAGGGTATGCCTCAATGACCAAAAGACCTCCCACTAAGTCCCATCTCTGAAAGGTTCCACCAACTCACAATAGTGCCAAGCTAAAAACTAAGCCTTTAACATATGGGCCTTTAGGGGGACATATCTATAGTGGGGATTTAGATTTTCTTCCCATGAAGTTTATTGGTACAGTTTAGGCATACAGTACAGTTACATTCATCATCGGGAACTTGTACCCTTACATGATGTATCTTGGTTCTTATTTTTCCTCATTCCCCTGCCCTCCATTCACCCCTCCACCCCTCCCTCTACTTACAGACTTTGTTTCCATCTTTTCCTTTTCTCATATTTTTGTTGTTTCCCTTGTAGATGTCTGATGAATTGAACCCCACAAATAATTCTTACTTCCTTTATTGGGCATACATTTACCTTATGTGTCTGAATCACCCTGTATTGTTCTGTTATTAGTTGTAAAGCAAAAGAACGTATTTGTCAGCCCTAACTTGTTTTTCCTTCATATCATATCCTAACTGGACATAACCTCCCATTCCATCCCCTGATCATTCACTTGCCACCTAACTGTGACAATTGATAAACTTCTACCTAGGCTGGACCAGCAAGGGACGCAGACTCAGCAAGAAGCCACAGACATGCCAGAGAGAGAGTAGAGTGCATGGTCGGGAGGAAAGATGGGGCCAGGCTAGGTGGGCTGTAAGCCTGTCAGGGCTGAGTATATCAATGTGCCTCTGTGTCCCCAACTTATTGGCTTGTCATACATGAATGATCTCCTCTGTATTGCTGGTCTAGAATTTGGTTCTTTGAATTTGCGATGTTCACAAGAGAATCTAGTCTCCCATGCACTGTACAGATTGCATCTGGATACTAAGGTTTACTAGAGAGCACTTAAGTTTGCTTTCATGAACCTGTGGGACAAGCCATTTAGAATTCATTATCTAATTACTAAAAGCAAATAGCCAGGGGCTACAGCACAGCCTGGGGAAGCAGACCCTCTACCAGGAAAGGAAAATTTGAGCCAGTCTCTCTGTAACCCTCTCTTTGCTTCACAAAGTAGCTTTTAAATTACAGTAAGTGTGCAATAAAAATTCCTCCCAGCATCTGGCCACGCTACATGTGGCCACCGCACATGTCCTTTTCTGGGATAATGTTGTATAAAAGGTAGGTTATTGAGTTAAACAGATCTGGCTTCTGTTTAACCATGCAATCTTGAGCACTAAATTTCTGAGTCTGCTTTCTCATGTATGAAATGAGAACAGTACCTTGTAAAGTATTATAAGGTTATTGGGAATGGAGAATTAAATTATGTATTAATAGTGCCTGGCATATACTATGTGCTCAAAACCTAGTAGCTGTTCTTTAGTGGGACCCTGGGATGGCTCCAGAAACCTTGTCCCAGACCCTAAACTGTAGGGAGAAAACTCCGTGTTAAATGACAGTAGACAAAATGCCTTTGTTTACCAAACAGTGAGTATGCCCAGCCCCAAAGTGTGCCCACCACCTGTCAGTTTCCTGGCTTTCCCTGTTAAGAAAGAAGAGAGCTGTCTGTAGCTAGATCTTGCTTTCAAGAAACCAAAGAACTGATGATAGGCCAAAGGCAATACAAGTTGTCACTCTGTGGTTTCTTGGTCACTAAAAGAAACTGGGACAAGGGGAGAGGGCAAGAGCCTATGAATGCAGGGTTCTTGGTATATGGACACTCACTGTTTTTCCTGTCTGTACCAGTTGAGAAATGCTGAGGATGAAGCCACACTACAAACTGTTCTGGATGCTCTGAACGAGGAGTTTGAAAAGCTATCAGAGATCAACTGGATGAATTCAATCATATTTCCAGAGGTACATAACTTGGAGAGCGAAATAAAGGGAAGAGAGAATTTTTCCTTGATATCTTACCTTCCAGCCTGGCTCACAATGAGGTGACTGAGGGAGTCCAGGGGCAGCTTTCAACTTTAACTTTAATGGAGCTTCCTCTTCCTCATCTCATCACAAGTGAACAGAACAAGGCAGAGAACGAAAAAAAGGAGATGACCATGGAAACATAAATAGAATGAAGAGCCACTTAGTAGCAAGAGATGATCAAGAAATAATACGAAAGATCGGAGTTTCTCTATGTTGTTTCCCTAGCCTCAGCCTGCCCACTCCCTGCACATCACTGTTGTCAGGACTGAACTTCCTTCAGTACATACCAGCATGACCGTACAAGTGCTTACAGCCAAAATCTGTTCTAAACATTTGGATCCCAGACTATACTGGTAGATAAATCCTCTAAGTATCATCTCTTCCCACTGGTTCCTTTATCTGCCCCTCTGAGAAGTTAGTGGGCTCTATCAGTGTCACCCCTTAGCAGGGGTGTGGCTTAAAAGAAAACTGAGCATGGCAGCAGGGGCTACAACTTAGCTGTAGGGAAGCTGCCATTTTTAAAACAACTCTGAGTAATTTCCAAAGATTGAATAATAGTCCCTTTTCATAAGTCAAATGACCCAAAGATGCCCACTTATCACTAGGTAAATTATACTATTTATGGTCTGGCAGGATTTTTCTTCAAATGTTTCTACCATAGAATCAATCATTTCAACCTGTGGCAATCCCTTTTCCCATACACACTCATTATGCGTGTGTTCTGGCTCCATTCACCAGTTATATGCGTATAAGCAAGGTGTATTTAGACCAGTGAAGCAACCAGGCTACCATTTCTGAAGAAAAGTCACATACACATTCAGGTCTTAAGAAATGTAATAACTTTCTCATGTGCCTTTGCTGATGTCTCAAGCACTTTCCAAGGCCTTTTCTGCTTCAAGGTCCTGAAGCTGCCCCTGGATGAAGAAAACATATTGTTAGACAAAGGGTGCAAAGTATCATTGTACCCCATTCCATCATTACCCAGTGCATGTCTCTCACCAAAGTCCTGAAATGGGAAAATGGATTGGATATTGAGTGACATGAGAAAAACGCAGTCCATACCCCAAGATCCCACTTTATATGTTAATCTATTTGGCCTGTGACATAAGCTCTTTTCTGAGTGCCAGTATATCCACAGAAGTGAAGGTATAAAAAAGACAGCGGATTGAAAGAAAGCCAGGATGATGTTGCTTATTCACTTGATACCAGTATTGCTCACAGAAGACTCTGATCTACTTTGCTAGGGGGAAATAGAATGAGACTCAGTTATTCATTGGACTTTCTCAGGGTTTGCCTGAGGGGAAGGTCCCATGCCTCTTCTTAAGGTTGCTCCTAAAAGGCACTTTTGCAGGTTGATATATTAGAGCCAGGAGCAGTACTAGGGGAGACAGAGTAAGTGGGAATAAGAACAGGAAGAGGAAGCAGACAGATTTATACCCTTCACTCAACAGGGTATAACATGGAGGTACAAATAATCCCCAAAAGATGTTATTTTAAAGCTGCTTGGAATATGTTTGGCTGGATTTTATAACAACAAAGTTAGCCTCCGAATATGTCTTACAAAGACTAGTAGTAAAGTCAGAACACTGTAGCAGGAGCAAAGACTGGGGGGTTGAGCCGGACTTACAGAGCCTACATAATTTGGACAGCAAGAAACTCACATTCATAATTAAGAGCTTCATTTAATAAGCCACCTTTGCAGTCCTGGTAGGGAAGCAGATGGGCTGGGAGGCAGGGTCTTTCCTATAAGAAGGCACTTGGCTAAGGGGGTTAGTAGGTGCTCAGTAAATTGTATGTCTGAAGAAAGGGTGCCTTTTCTAATTCATGCAGAGGTACCATATGACCTAGCAGTGGACTTAGCAATCTTACACTTCCAATCCCTAGCCACATTACCTCAGGTGGACTTTTTAACCTCTCTGAGGCTCTATGACTATTTACTGAAGTATCTAGCAAGGCATCAAGTAGGCTCCTGGTAAAGGCAAATTCCTTTCGTGGGATATATGACCAGTGAGTAGAAGTATCTCATACATGGCTAGAGTAGCTCTGCCTGTTTTCTGTCATCATTCTTGTCCATCGCTTTTCCAGGCCTCTAGGAATTACTTATGGATGTCAGGTAACTAATATTTTGATCTTCTTCTTGCTATTGTTTCTCAGGAAAAATCTTCAGATGCTGACAGCAGAAGCCTCAGGTTGAAATTTAAGCTCCGCAAGTTGGGAGAAAAGAAATTGCAAGAGGAATACAAACCTAAATCAGGCCGAAGATTCCACCATTTTATTGGTAAGTCTCTTCCCCGAGCATAAGGGTCATGAAGATCCCCCAAAAGACTACCTCTCAGGAAGCAGCAACCTCCACTAGAACAACATTAGAAATGTTCCCAGGCATGGTAGTGATAGAAAAGCCCGCAGAGAGCCAAGACTGGGTAATTCCAAGTGGTGTATTGGACAAGGTTTGAATTATAAAGTGATATGGACACCGGTAGGGGGAGAACATGAGAAAGAACATTGCCCTGTGAGTGGACAGCTGAAAAGAAAAATGCAGTCAGGCAGTTTTTTTACTGCCTGACCCATTTGTAAGGGTCAGGAACAGGTTCTGTGACTTATCTAAAACACCCCCCCATCCATTATAGTAAGTCTATAGAAACATGAAATTTCTATATATTCTATTGCTTAAATTTTGGTTCCATCCAATTATTCTTCAAAATTGGTCCTAAGAAATGTTGACACGTCAGTAGGATTCAAAAGACAGTTCTCTTAAGAATTGTCAGTTACACCAAATCATGATCTTTCATAAATTTGGAGCCTAAGGGCCAGGGATTTAGCTCAGCAGTTAGGTGGCCTGCCTTGCAAGCGCAAGGACCCGAGTTCAATCCCCAGTACCAAAAAAACAAAAAACAAACAAACATAAATTTGGAGCCTAGACAATCTGAAAGCTTAAGAGACGTAGCAGTAATGAACATAGGAAAACAGGGTTAGAAGATAGTAGTCTGTTTTATTTCTAAGGAACCAAGGGTTTGCACAGATGCCAAGAGAGAATCTCTTGGACCAAACTGTATTTTCTCAGGTATGATCTATTTTGATTCCCTGAGAATCTGCCAGTTAGGAGGCTGTAGGTTTTAAGAATATTTCTGAAGACTCTGATGGAGTCAATAGCAGTTCCATAGATTATCGGGTTCTAAGAATTCATCCTATTTGTGTTTGGGTCACCTGATATCTGATGTTTCAGAGATGGTACAATATGAACAAACCAGCCTGTCTCCTAACATACACTGCTCTCTTTGGGGTTTGGGCATCTGACAGAGTACTAACCTCGTTTCTGTATTTGGGTTTTCTCTGAAGGTAATTTGTGGCATCGGAGGAGTCATGAAGATGAAGCAAAGGGTGATGATCCTTCAACACCATCAATATCTCAACATTAGCCCTTGAAAGCTGGAAGAACTCACATTTTAGAATTCTACTAAAAACACTCAAAACCCTAATACAGGCTGGAGTACACTATTTCACAACAAGCATGAGCACCACCAAGAAAGACCTTCCAGTTCTTTAAACCAGTACATTTCTCCTGAACTTAATCAAATCTCCTTAGAGGTTTACATGTTTCCATCGGCCAAAGATTCTTGTTTCGAGTTGTCTTTTTCAGTTCTCTTTCTCTTTGTGCATCTCGAGCACCTATGGTATCTACTTGGATAAGCTCTGTGTGGCTCTACGAAGGTCTCAAGGGAGTTCACTTCATCGGGGAGTTTAGGAATGGTTTTTTTCTGACTGGCAGAGAAACTCTTGACACTAAAGAATGAATGAATGAATGGCAGACCCTCGTGGAGATGAAAAGACGGGGCAGAGCAGCCAGGCTCGATGATGTTTCTCCCCCACTCCCTACCAACTTCAAACCTTAGGATATTTCTTCTAGTTGGCTCATTAAAATCAGAACTAGGTCCTGGGGTCTTGTCCTCTTAAATGATCTCTTCCCTCCTCCCCTCCCCTCCCCTCCTCTCCTCTCCTCTCTTCTTCTCTTCTGTCCTCTTCTCTTTCTCTCCCCTCCCCCTCTGCCCCCATCCTTTCTGGTTTTCCATGTGTTCGTGTAGTATCTTCACACATGTCCAGGTGGTGCTCTGGTGGCTGGGTGGGCCCATTCATGGAACTCACCTTCCATGGCAGCCATACAAGCTCCCCTCCTACTGCCTTGATCTTAGTCTGCATAATTTTGTGGAGTGTTCACCTGCATTCTTGCTGGATTTTTTACCTAGATATTTTGCCGCTGTGCTGCAGTGTAGATTATGTATAGTGACATAAATATGTATATAGATATATAGATTTATATTTACAGGAACTGAAAATACAACTCGACCTCTAAGTGACCCTCTAATTTATTGTGCTAATCCAGGAATCCTTCACTATTCCCTAATACCTTACACACATATACGCCTCCACCAACTGCCCTAATTCTTGGTGGAGCGTCTAATCTTTGGTGCATTTTTAGTATCTTAGAAGTAGCTGGAATCTACCTACAGCCAGCTGATTCTGATGCCTATTTAAAATTTTGAGCCAGGCCACGGATAGGGGAACAAAAATATAAATGGCTCAGAGAAGGGGCTAAGTTGGCATGCTGCTTATTCAGGTCTATTTGTCCTACCCTGTACATCAGCAACTGCCTCAAACCATTGCTCCTTCCCCCAAAGGAAAGACTACCCAGAGCAACCAGACCTTTAGCTCTGTGATATAAATACCAGAGCTGGAGACTGCCTGACAATTGAGTCCCAACTAAGCTCTTCTTTACAAGCTCTTTCTTGGCCTGAATTTTCTGGACAAGATGCTGAGTCAGTCCCCAAGTCTCCTTCAGCTATCCCATCATGCCCCTTTCCCTTGAGTGTGGAGGGGTATTCAGAGTGATCAGAAAAAATATGGGCCTGGGGAAACTAAGGCTAAAAGGCTTTACTTCCCCATGGTTCTTCTTCCAAATTTCTAATAAAAACAAACTAGATCTAGATTGTTCCAAATCCTAATTCAAATATTTTAAATGTCTAATCCAAGTCAATCAAATCTAACCAAGCCCCAATGCCCAGAGAGGCTTTCTCTGCTTTTCCTCTCATTTCTATTCCACCCTCAATTCATACCTTTGAGTGTCGCTTCCCACTTATCAAAAGAAAGCCAGAGAACTGGTCTCTCCCCATTTGTTAGACAAATATAGTGTGCTCAATTACCTAATTTTATCCAATGTCTGGTTCATCAAGGTGCACAATCCAGTCTGTTAAAACTGGTTCTCAACTCTAGAATTCCACCAGCCTAATCTACTTAAACCAGCTTCCTGTGTTCCACCTCTGCAGGGGTAAAGAGAAAAATACTAACAAGGGGATAGTCCCCAGATGACTAATTGCTGTGCCAAACAAACAAAAGAGTCCTAGCTCTACAACTAAAGAAGAAAGTCAATGGAAAAGTATGACAGGAGACATTTTAAACTTATTTAAGGATAAGAATCTTAGCTTACTATATGTATTTAAGTGGGGAGTGTGTTATTGCCAGGTCTTTGATTTTTTTCCTGCATCACTCTTTCTTCTCAGGAAGAGATGTTAGATCAAATTAGGAAGGTCACCATTGCAGCTCAACTTGGCTTCTCCTTGGCTGCATGAATTAGCATCTGCACACACACACTCACAAAGTTGGGAACCAATTTATGTTTTTTTTCAGAAGAGTCTTTTCCAAAAGGGAACTTTTCCAAATGAGAAATACTAAGGAAACAGAAGTAAGTCCTGGGAAAGTGTAGCCTTTTCTTGGTAATGACTAAGCAGGACTATGTCTTATACTTTGTAAACTACTGATGGTAGTCAATTATAGTAGGACTCCTTTTCTTGTGCTTACTTTGCTGAAATACTGTATACACTATAGTGTTGCTGTTGTTCTGTTGTATCATCTGAATTCTCTTTCATCTACCCTGCCTCCCACCCTGAGTCAGAATGATGTTGAATGAAACTACTAGGATTTGGGGCTAGAACCAAATATGGAAAAGAATTGATAGATGATGTGGCCCAAGAGCAGATGCGGCTTCCTAAATCACTAAATAGCTTAGTTACCAGTTGCTTCCTGAAAAGAAAAACTGCTTGATGAGCACCTGTTCTTGCATGTACTTGCTTGGAAAGGAAGCTAAAAGTGATCCTTATCTCAAGGGAGTTGCCTTAGTCCCTAGGAGCATGAGCTTCCTTCGGGACTTAATTGTTAACTACATGTAGCAACACAATTGCTTACGCCAAACGTTCATCTCAAACATATTCAGAAACCATTAACAACCAAAGCTCTAGGGTTTGCTTGCATCTTTGGTAGCACTCTCTGAAGAAGTGATTGGATGGGTAATTCTTGGCCAGAAGAACAGTGGGGAAGGAAAATGCCAACAAATTTGAGCTGCTACCAACTGCTTCTGGTGCCAATATGACAGGAGGTAAGCAGCTATCTGAAAAAGACCCTTTAGCTAAAAAGTTAAAGATTGACCAGAAGAAACAGTAGGATCAACATCATCTCTCAGGAAGCAAGTAGAATAATTTTAGTTTCACAAGAGATAGAAACTAATACCAAAGCAATCAAACTCATTTATACCATTTCATCCTATAACAGACTTTGATTAGCTATATAGTTTGTAGAATTGCTTTGTCTATTTGTTTGCTAATCTGTAATCCACTGTCCTTTTCCTGTTCTGTGAATTTTGTTTTCTGAAGTCCCTGCAAATAAGCAGCAGGGCCAAGGGCTGGTTGTGGGAGGAAGCTGGGAGTAGTCATGGAATCAACAAGAAGAAACAGCAAGGTCCACAAAGTGTGCCTGTTCCTCTTCCTCCCCCCAGAATGGAACACCAGTCCTCAAAGTTAATAAAGTGTTGCTTATTAAAGTATTTCAATAAATGGATACATATAATTAACACCACTGCCTCATCATTTACCTTGGCATGGGGGAAGTTAAATGGTGGTATAAATGGGGAGTGAACTTGAGTAGCACTGCAAGCTCTAAACAAGCCACATGCAGTTAGGGATGACAGGCAAGGGGATACAACAACACAGGACTGGCCCTTGGAATTTATCATAATATTAAAAGAACTACCACGGTGAATTCTAAAACATAGCTGTAACTCAGGACAATCATGTCTGGAAATGCAGTGGACCCTCAAGTTACAACTGGCCTGATATACAAACAACTTAGGTTAATTAGGTTAATGGAAGATTCATCTGCCTCTTGCTATCTACAGTGTGTACCCAGGTAAACATCCAGATCTCAGCTTTTACTGACTTAGGGTGAAATGGTCTCTTATTTAGAAATGAGCCATTTGTGACATTCAAGACATTCAGGAAATTTCAGTCTACCACCCTAAAAACTGCACTGTTAGGTTTTATGGAGGAAACGGTTCTGTCGTCAAGGAGCTACCATCAGTGGCCCTGTGATCCAGATTAAGAATAATTCACTGCACCCTATATACTATAAAGCACTATCAGAAATGAAATTTAAGGCTAGTTCTAAAACTACTATATAATAACATTGCCCCCTTTTGGCTGTAGGGAATCATTCAGTTTAAACATGTGGAGAGATTTATGTAAACACCAACACTACCAGGGTATGGAACAGTTTCTACTACCCCATACATCTCCTTTATATTATTCCTCTATAGCCCTGTCCCTAACCACTGATCTATTTTTCATCACTGTGGTTTCGTTCCTACAGGATTATAATAGACTATGTAACGTTTTGAAACCAACTCTAACTCAGCATAATGCCCTTCAGACTCTTTCAAGTTGTTGTGTTGAATCAATAGTGTTCTTTTTTTATTGTGGGTTAGTATTATGCTGTATATATCCAACAGTTTATTTATCCATTCTCTTATTGAAGAATTTTGAGTTATTTTCAGTTTCTTTTACTGATCAGTTAATAAATGTGTTACTCCCTGGGTTCAATACCCAGCATCACAACGAAAAAGAAAAGAAAAAACAGAATAAAAATGTTTTATTTTCCAAATATTTTGAGATTGTACTATTATTTTCCTATTATCTCGTTTAATTTTTTGAGATCAGCGAACACACTATATATGATTTCAATTCTTTCTAATTAGATAAGGCTTTTTAATGACCACTTTATTTATTTTCTATCTGGCCTTTTAAAATTTGTTTTCCTTTTCCTGCATCCTTTCAGATTATCTGAACTTTTTGAGTATCTCATTTTAACATCTCTATTGTGCCTGTGACATCTATTTATATGATTTTTTAACTGTATGAAATAACATATACTGTTCATGGTCTTCCTAGAATGAATATTTTGCCATTTTATTTATTTATTTATTTATTTACTTATTTATTTATGATACGGGGGATCGAACTCAGGACCTAGTGCACATGCTGCCCGTCTGAGTTAAATCCTCTGCCTTTACCATTTGCCCTTTGCCCTCCCCACTTTATGCTACCACTGTTTTATATATTACATCTGTATAAACTTAAAATTCCACATTAAAGTGTAATTTTTGCTTTCAATAATCAAACATGGTTTACAATATTCAAGAGAATATTATGATGGTCCAGAAATTTACCATTCTGTTGTAATTTTTTCATTCATTATGTTACAAGTTGCCTTCTGGTATCATT